TCTCCGTCGGTGATTGGACTTGGAGATCTTGAGAGAGAGCTTGCAGATTCTTCAAAGATCTCCTCTGGAAAGTGTCTGTCTTTACTGCGTTGGGCAGCAACCGCTTGGACGCCGTTGATCCATGGTGGCAGTGGCATTTGCGTGTTGAATTTGGGTGAATGTACGAATTAGGGCGTAATTTGGGCGAATTTGAGCGAGATGGGTAGATTTCTGGATCGTTCTTGCTATCTGCGCACAGAGAAGGGAGAAAAAAAATGGAAGAATTTGTGAACCTGAAGGGGAATTCAGAAGCCGTGGTTGCCAAATGAAGAGGTGTGAAAACTCCTCTTCACTGGAAATCTATTGTTAGTAAGAAAACAAAAGAGAAAAGAGCCCAATCTCCAAGGGCAGAGAAGAAGCACGAGTAAAAGAATGCTGTGTATTGATAAAAAAAACGATGGAATGGAGATAGGGATCCATAATTCAGATTCCCCCTTTTGAAAGGCTAGTGGTTCTAACTACTAGCATATACTATATGCTGTGCATGATTTAATCTATGGCTCCAATGCAGCCCTGGGTTCAAAGTCAGAGTCCCCTGAACTTGGGTTTTTGGTTGCTACAATGAAGTACAGGAATGCTCTATTTCAGAAGAGCCCCGTTCTTGCAAAAAGCGCTCTAGTCACACCATCAATTGCCAAGCTGTTCATGTGCGGCCACACTGCCTCAGGCAAGACCACCATCTCCACCAATCTGGTCCGCCCCTATGCAGCCCTCCTGCAGTGTGTGAAGCCGCCATGTCAATCATGCATCAAAAGTGGGATTCTTTCTCCCTCTCTTGAGTGTTTTTGTGGTTTTTGTGGATTTCATCTTTGGTTGCAAAGATGGTTGTGCGCGTAGAGTCCGTGTCGACGATCGTTCCAGCGGTCCCAACACCGCAGCTCTGCACTCTGGCTTTGCAACTTCCAAATCCAGGTCCTGGCCGAGAACTATCTCAAGCAAGTTTACTACTACCCAGCTGCTCTGGACCACATAAGCTCTTTCGATTCACTGGTGGCGAGTTTGAAGGACTCGCTCTCCCGGATCCTCGTCCCGTACTATCCGCTAGCCGGGAGGCCCAGAATCACCGGCCTCGACCGTCCCATCCTCGACTGCAACGACCGTGGCATCGAGTTCGTGGTGGCCTTCACCGATGCGAGCTTCGGCGACTGGGGCAATTCCATGAAGCAGTGCTCCATCGGGCAGGAGCTCAACCCGGCCCAGACCGCGATCACCGATCCGGAGAACTTCCCTCAGCTCAAAGTTCAGGTAAGTCCTTTGACCGGCTTTGATCGGCTTTGACTACTCTCCCAGGTGACCAAGTTCCGGTGTGGCGGGATAGCTCTGGGCCTCGTCACCAGCCACACCCTCCTGGACGGCTCCTCGGTCTTCCCCTTCCTCAAGGCCTGGTCGGAGCTCCACCGGGGATTCCCACCGCCGAATCCACCGCCCAGCTTCGACTCCAGCCTCCTCAAGGCGTGGGATCCGCCCAGCGTCACCGTGCCGGTCCGGGACTTCGTTGCTGTGACCCCCGCCATCGCCGAGGAGATGGACAAGGCCGCCCAGGACTTCAAGCCCAGTTACCACGTCCGGGCATTCCACATGAACGAGCAGCAGCTCGCGGAGCTCAAGCACGAGATCGCGTCTGGCCCGTTCGCATACGGCAGCAGCCTTCGACCTCCTTCGAGGCCGTCTCGGCTCTCGTCTGGAAGTGCATCACCGATGCCGAGCGAGTACTGCGGCACCTCCTCCTTCACGCTCTGCCTGCCGTGCGCCGTGGGCGATCTCAAGAACAAGCACATCTCCCACACCGCGCGGCTCTTCCACGAGGATGTCCGCAACGTAGGCCAGGAGAGGATCCAGTCTACCATCGACTGGATGGAGGAGACGCTGCGCAAGGGCCATGAGGAAGAAATGCATAATACAGCACCCCTCACTCTTACGTGGTTGCCCCTTTGCCACGCTCACTCCTCGCTTCCTCCGTGGCGTGCTGAGTCATGATATCGGGCTCAACGTCCTGCCACCCAGCACCGGGATGGGGATCTTCAGTGTCAGCTTGCACTCATTCCCGGTGTACGAGTTTGAGTTTGGGGGGCGGCCGGCCCACTTCTCGATGGTGCTGGAGCCGTGGTATGGCAACGGGGTGGTGGTGCTACTTCCCATGCCCCAGGGCGGGATGCGAGAGCGCCGGATTGTGGTGATGCTGCTCGTGGAGCAGATGAAGAGGCTGCTGCAAAGCGAGCTCTTTGCGAGGTTTACAACCCTGGACTGCTAGTTCCTCTCCGCACGGGAGCTTCAAATAAGAGTGGCGAATGGTCCCCTTGACTCCATGGTCTAAAGATGTATGGGCCCTGTTTCTGTGGTTTTCATCACGAAAGAAATGAATGCACGAAGGCTACTTTAGTTTTTGGAGGTGCTGCTCTTCATGAGTGGCATCGTCAGCTGTAGGAGAGTAAATTAGTTTGTTCCACGCCCTAATCGCTGGCAGATTGATTTCTCGCGGTCTTTGGACTCTCAACATGATCCTCGCTGCCTAATCCAATGCCATAAAAGAAAGGCTAGAGGGGATCAAGAATTTGTGTTGAAACTCTCACACTAGGTTCGCTCTTTCTTTTCGATTGCAACGCAAAAAGGAGCCAGTGACACTGCAAAACAACGGGCCAACTCTCAACGCGAACTCACTGATGTGGACGAATATGAACAATCAACAATACTTAGGTTTACGTTGCCAGGTTCTCGTGTCTTTCGATTTGTTCTAATTGCTTGTCATGAAGAAGCCAAGTGACATGCTGGTTTTGCTCAACGACGATAAGAACTGAAAAACGACATGTCACAGCGTGTGCCATACTAGGTTAGCAACGTTTTGGAGAGATTGTCAGCGCTTTGATCAAAGGAACCTGCCCAGCCTTTTGGTAGCACACCACATGGCCATTTATCTTCATTATAGTCGAGTCAAAAAATTCCTGGCTAATGGTCTTTATTCATGCCTTTGACCATTAACAGTTTTCAAAGTATGCAAGAGGTGTAGAAGGCAGAGTAAACCAGTTTATGTCATACAAAACCATTGAATACAAGTCTCTACTTGCTCCGCTGGAAGTGTACCTGAGCTATGAAGAACCGGAGGCTAGCCATGTTGCACCCAGCGAGCGATCCTGGCAAACTGGCGTCGGGTGTTTGGAAGAAGCTGATGCGTCTTAACAGCGAGCCTCTCCCTTTCACAGAGACGAGGTAGGGGACTACAAAAAGAGTCTCACGTTTGCGTCTCGCCTCCAAGGTGGCCACATCCCCGAGTTGATCCAGGAAAAGGTTGTGAGTTTTGTGGAGACATACAACCAGCAGTACACCAAGGAGACTGAGACTGCCCGTGATACTGCAACTTCAAAGCCAAAGGACGCAATGGTCAGGCACGAGCTCGAGTACCTGAGAAGCGGAAATGAGCTCGAGCTTTTGAGTCTACTCCCGAACGCCAGGGACGAAGAAGAACCCTCAGACAGAGCCAGAGGCACGACTGGACGAGCTAGTGGCAAGGCTGGATGAAAATACTCAGGCAGCAGCGATTGGACTGGAAGAAATTCCTCGGCCGTGGACAGAGGACACGAAGCTGCTCGTGCTCACGCCAGAAGGGATCGGCTTGGAAGTGACGAGCCCGAAGTCTTCAAGCTCGGACAGCTACAAGAGGTTTAACGAGCTCTTGAGTAGCTGCCACAGCCTCCAGAAGCTCGTCTCTGGGAATGTTTTTTGACATAACTACTAAACAAATGTTTGCAACTTTGTATATGTAAGGAAACCACTTGTATAGATCGTCTCGTTTTGCCACTGCCTACCCATCGTTAGATAGCCCTGGAACGTTACCGTTGCAATCTCATAGCGTTCCAAAAACAAAAAGATGTTAGGGAAACCATAAAAAAAACTAAAGCCTGGAAGACTGAAGCCTCTCCTGGCGTTCTTTGAACAAACATTTTGGTTAGAACAAATAGCTCTTAAACTTCGACTTCCACTTCGTTGAACAGAAAACATCCTAGTTAGACAAACCAATATATGAGTTGTAAATTCACGCTATGCACATTCCTTTGACTTTGGAGTTTTCATGGTCGTTGTTTTCAATGAGGTTGGACCATTGTCAATGTACGTCTTCAGCTGGATTGAAGTTCTGGCCCAACGTTGTTTCTCGCAGGTCTTGCATTGAGCGTAGCAACAATTAAATCTCTCCAATCTCGTAGCATTTTTCTTCTTGGACACAGCATTTTTTAGTTCTTACCATCACGTCACTTGTTTTTTTTCATGACAAGAAATTAGAACAAATTTACACACGCAAACCCTGAAGCTAAGTATCATCAACTTTTAATGATCGTTAGTTTTGTTTGTATTCACAAATTTCCCTTCGCATTTAGAGTTGCTTGAACTGTTGCTTTGCACTTAGCTTGTTTGAGTTGTTTGATTGAGCATATCATCTTAGCTTGACTGTGTGGCTCCCTTTTGCGTTGAGCATAGCATCTTCTTGACCCCGTTGTCAGCACTCTCAATTGAAAAGAAAGAGCAAACCTGAATTCTTCAAACGTTGAGAGTTTCAACACGAGTTCTTGAATGCCTCTAGCCTTTCTTTTATCGTTGATAATTCTTTTATTGTTGATACCTCTTGGCTCGTTGCAAGCAGCTTCGCTTTCTTGTCTCCAGCAAGTCTCTCTTGTTTCGTTGTCTTACTCGCTTATTGCCAACACAAAGAAAAATAAATAAACTTACCTTTGCGAGGTGGAGGGGCTGGTCCAGGATCAACGACGGATCATGATCGTTGAGGTATTCATTGAGGTTTGACCATTGTCATGTATGTCTTCAGCTGGATTGAAGTTCTGAAGATTGCAGGTGCCCAACGTTGTTTCTCAGCTCGCAGGTCTTGCGTTGAGCGCAGCAACAACATAACTCAAAGCACTGACAATCTCTCCAAAACGTTGATACAAAATCTCTCCAATCTAGTAGCATCTTTCTTCTTGGCACACGTCTTATCGTCATTGAGCTGTCACTTGGCTTCTTCATGACAAGAAATTAGAACAAATCCCCGTTGTTTTGCACTTTGCTTGTTTGAGTTGTTTGAGCACATCATCTTAGCACTGGCTCCCTTTTGTGTTGCAATCGAAAAGAAAGAGGGAACCTGGTGTCTTCAAATGTTGAGAGTTTCAACACGAATTCTTGATCGCCTCCTTTCTTTTATCGTTTATCATACCTCTTAGCAGCTTCGCTTTCTTGTCCCTGGCAAATCTCTGTCTTACTTGCTTATTGCTAACGCAAAGAAAAGCCCTTACCTTGAGAGGTGGAGAGGTGCGGCAGTTGACCGGTCCGGCCAAGGATCAGCGACGGATCATGATTGTTGTTGTCATTGTCATGTACGTCTTCAGCTGGATTGAAGTTCTGAAGATCGCAGATGCCCAACGTTGTTTCTCAGCTCACCGGTCTTGCGTTGAGCGCAGCAACAACATAACTCAAAGCACTGACAATCTCTCCAAAACGTTGACACAAAATCTCTCCAATCTAGTAGCATTTTTCTTCTTGGCACACGCTGTGACAAGGCGTTTTTCAGTTCTTATCGTCGTTGAGCAGCACCGACATGTTGGCTTCTTCATGACAAGAAATTTCGAAACACACGCGAACCTGGCAACATGGAACTAAGTGTCGTTGATCTAGTTTGTTTGTATTCACAGAGCGTTGTCCACATCCTTCGCGTTGAGAGTTCCTTGGCTCGTTGTTTCACTTTGCTTGTTTGAGTTGTTTGTAGTGTCACTGGCTCACTTTTGCGTTGCAATCGAAAGAGCGAACCTGGTGTCTTCAAACGTTGAGAGTTTCAACACGATTTCTTGATCGCCTCTAGCATACCTCTTAGGTCGTTGCAAGCAGCTTCGCTTTTGTCTTATTGCTAACGCAAAGAAAAGCCCTATCTAAACGAACTTACCTTGCGAGAGTGGAGAGAGAAGCTGGAGCTCCGATCAATGGGCAGAGTGGAAGGGTCGCGACCCCAACCCCAAGACATCCCGTCCGCGGCATCCACCGCCCTAGCCCTTCATCAACGATGAACCCTAAGTTTGAGTATTGTATACATCAACGATGAACCCTAAACGTAAGCTAAGTACCATAAGGACAAAAAGAGAATTAGTCCAAAACGTAGCTGGAGGGGACGAGGAATCCTGCTGATCGGACAGCCTGCTGGATGGCTCTTCCGTGCTGCTGTTGCGTGCCTGCACAGCTTCTGGATCTCAGCCGGCGATACATCGCACCGTCGTGGACATGGAGATGATCAAAGGAATCGAAGGGCATGGTTAACTCGTAGTCCCGATCATTGAAAACTCTGCATATGAATATGAGCTCACGGATTCTTTAGCAGCAGCCGTGAGTAAAAGCTCGTTCGTTTCTCACTGTTGTCTTTCTTATTCGTGTTTTGCTGGAAGAGTGCCGCTTATCCATGAACGACGGCAGCGTTAGTGAGAAACCATGGGATCACGTTTGGGGTGACTCGTGGTTCTGTGCTAAAACTCAGGTGATAGTATTTTTTCCAGCTTGACTCTTAATCTTTTGCGAAGAAGGCAGAATGCTACCATTATCTTTTTGATGCCGCACTTAAGCTTCGCCAGTTTGGCCTCGACCATACAGACCCCTTGCATGGACCAGTGAAGAAACTCAGCCTTGCAGCTCCAAGGAAAAACTATCCCGCAAGAAATGCTGTCTATTAATGAGGGCTTTTATCAAATGTTTTTCTCGTGTGCACCACGATTCCCGTATGGACGTTTGTTTCCCTATGCACATGACAATGAGGGAAAACACCTCTCAGCCACTTACGATTCGAAGGAGACTCAAGGTGATCTAGACCTTCTCAGGCAACAGCCAAGATTTCATTGGTTTTGGTGGCAGCAGAAATCTCGTGTTATGTCAAGCAGGTTCTTAAAGACACGAAGGAGGGAAACGTGCAAACGCAGCTTATTCTCCCAAGTGATAAGGACGAAGTCAGAGCGTAACGTTCTCGCATGACTGCTGCTGATCGCAAAGTTACAGCCCTCAAATAATTCCAGGTCTGGTCTTGTTTTGAATCAACGTTTCTTGGTCCTTTGCATCACAGGGATATATTTGGAGAACAGGATACAAAAACGGTGAACACAAAGGCCAAGTCTTTCAGGACGTTCCACTCTCCTTGTGCTGAGTAGAAGGTCTGATAGGAGTTGCCAAAGCACGATGTTGATGTCGTCACCTTGTTCCTTTTAGGCCTATATTTACTCGAGTGGGAGCCGAGAAGCACAGCGGTTGATCTTTGGGAACACAAACTTTGGGCTACTTCGATACTGCAGGGTGAGATTTTCCGCACTTGGTTCATTATATTTGCTCCTCACATCTCATTCCTTTTCAGAAACAAACGAGAGGCACTTTCGGTGGGTGCCGATGAGCCTTCTCAGATTACTTCGCCACGGGCTGTTGCTGCTAAAGACGCTGGTAATGTCTGGGAAAAAAAAGCGAGAGATGTGTTGCTAATGTATCATTGCTTTTGTTGCCAGGCCTGGACACTGTGATACTTGAGAGACCAGGGAACGCACCACTGCCTAGCGGACAGCAAGCACCCTTTGGGACACTTATGATACTCAAAGTTTGCAAGCTCTTACTCAAACAAAGAATCGCGCCTTGTGGCTTTGGGCTTGTGAGAAGTCTAACTTTCACATTATAAGAAAGCAACTTGTTAGTCAGGGCCTAAGCTAGCCCACAAACCTTAACACCAAGAAGCAAAATAGTTTTAACCTTGTATTCTCAAACCAGGAGTTCCTCTCTTTGTTTATCTCCAGTTCGTCCACTGTTCTTGGCTCTTGGGCGAATTTTCCTTCCGTTTCCCATGCATCTCGGGAGTAAGGATTGATTAGATGATTCATCCGTGAACTTCGTGAATAAAGCTCACAAACCGGCTCCCGTCCCGCTGGCAATGGCCACTCCCACGGAAACAACAGCTAAGCTAGTGCCTGAAGAGACATAACTACTTGACAAATGTTTGCAACTTTGTAAATGTATTCATTTCTTTTCAAGGAAACCACAGAGTGCTTTGTGTAGATCGTCTCGTTTTCCCACTGCCAGAGCGTAAACTTCCATTTACCCATCGTTAGCTGGCCCTGGAACGTTGTTCTGTGGCACCGTCGCAATCTCATGGTGTTGCAAAAACAAAAGGAAGTTAGAGAAACCATAAAGAAAACTAAAGAGAACATGGACCTGGAAGGTTGAAGCCTCTCCTGGCGTTGTCCAGTTCTTTGAACAAACATTTTGGTTAGAACAAACAGCTCACGAACCTCTTAAACTTCGACTTCCATTTCGTTGAACAGCAAACATCCTAGTTAGACAAACCAATATATGAGTTGATTCAGGCGTCTTTCCTTGTAAATTCACGCTATGCACATTCCTTTGAATTTGGAGTTTTCATGATCGTTGTTTTCATTGAGGTTGGACCATTGTCAATGTACGTCTTCAGCTGGATTGAAGTTCTGAAGATCGCATTGTTTCTCAGCTCGCAGGTCTTGCGCTGAGCACAGCAACAACATAACTCAAAGCCTCTCCAAAACGTTGACACAAAATCTCTTTAATCTCGTAGCATTTTTCTTTTTGAACACAGCATTTTTCAGTTCTTATCGTGGTTGAGCAGCACCAACACGTTCACTTGTCTTTTTCATGACAAGAAATTAGAACAAATTGAAACACTTGCAAACCTGAAGCTAAGTATCGTCAACTTTCAATGATATTCACAAGCTTCCCTTCGCATTGAGAGTTCCTTGGGCCGTTGTTTTGCACTTAGCTCGTTTGAGTTGTTTGATGAGCATTTTAGCTTGACTGTGTCACTGGCTCCCTTATGCGTTGAGCATAGCATCTTCTTGACCCTGTCGACACTCTCAATCGAAAAGAAAGAACGAACCTGATGTCTTCAAACGTTGAGAATTTCTCATTTATCGTTGATCATTCGATCCTAGCTCGTTGCAAGCAGCTTCGCTCTTTTGTCTCCGACAAATCTTTCTTGTTTCGTTGTCTTACTCGCTTATTGCTACCACAAAGAAGAGCTCTAAACGAACTTACCTTGCGAGGTGGAGAGGTCCGAGAGTTGACAGGTCCGACCAAGGATCAGCGACAGATCATGATCGTTGTTGTCATTGTCATGTACGTCTTCAGCTGGATTGAAGTTCTGAATATCACGTTGTTTCTCGGCTTGCAGGAATTGCGTTGAGCACAGCAACAACAAATCTCTCCAAAACGTTGACACAAAATCTCTCCAATCTAGTAGCATTTTTCTTTTTGTCACACGCTGTGACATAGCATTTTTCAGTTCTTATCATCGTTGAGTAGCACCAACATGTCACTTGGCTTCTTTATGACAAGAAATTAGAACAAATCGAAACACATGCAAACCTGGCAACATGAAACTAAGTGTTCTTGATCGTTAGTTTTGTTCGTATTCACACAGCGTGAGTTTCTCTTCGCTTTGAGAGTTCCTTGGCCCGTTGTTTTGCACTTTGCTTGTTGAGAGTTTCAACACGATTTCTTGATCGCCTCTAGCATACCTCTTAGCTCGTTGCAAGCAGCTTCACTTTCCAAATCTCTGTCTTACTCACTTATTGCTACCTACCTATACAAACTTACCTTGTGAGGGTGGAGAGAGGCAATCAATGGACCCTAATCCCAAGTCTTTATCAACAATGAACCCTAAACTTGAGCTAAGTACCCCTATTTTATATAAGCAGGGCAAAAAAGGGAAGTTTTAAGGTATCATAGTAGTGGGATAGGTCAGGATAATAAGATAAAAAAAAGGGCCTTATAATAAAATGATTACCCTTTTAACTAATTGGTTTAGAGTGTAAGGGATAGGATCTTAACATTAGTATAGAAGCTTAGTTTGATTCTTGTGGCTGATGAATGAGGCAAGAATATTTTAAAAGAATATTTAACATGATGGATCAAAATTAAAGTTTAATAAACCCTATGGTGACCGGAGGGTGGCCTAAGTATAATCACAGACAATTATTCCCTAACTTTGAACTTTGAAAAGTAGAAGAGATTCAAATTCTAAAGGTTCCTCCAAAACATTTTTAAGTGTAGAGATGTTAAAATATAGTATAAAGTTAAGCTTGCCATGAACCTTAATTTTTATATATTTATAATGATTGTATTAAAGTACAATTGTTTAGCTCACAAACTCAACTTTTCATTGTGAATTCAAGAGTGATTTATACTCATATGCATGAAAGTAACCTTTGATAAAAAAATTCCATGCTTGTGCTCTTGTATGCTAAAGATTTCCAAACAAATCTTTAGCTCTTGGTTTTGTGAACAATTCTTTTTTCTTGACATGATGCTTATCTCAGCATTAGATGCCCCACAAAGGGACTTAGAATTCACTTCACAGATCTTTGATATATGAACCTTGCAGTTCATGTTCTCTAAAAACAAAAATTTTCTATGCTATATGTAGCAGTCTACTACTATAAGGAGCAAACGCCGAACTTTGTGGGCCTCCGGATCTGGGCAATCCGGGCCGTTGGATGCGGGGTGAACTGGTAAATATTGGTTTCTTACCACACATACTTTTGAAATATTTTTGGTGGTTTCTTACCATCACTTAATTTAATATATCTAAGGTATATGCTGGTTAATGGTTTTGTTTATATTTTACATTTTAAAGGATGGAAATATGCAAGAGGACACTGAATGAATTACAAGATACAACTTGTTGGTGAGTTGGATTCACTAGGGTGTTATATTACTAGTCCTACCTTACGCAGCAAGCCCACTGATATAGTTTTTTTTTTTTATATAATATCAACATTACATGTAGAAATACATTTTTTTTTCTTACTCTAGCACACTGATACATTCTTTCATATGAAGGGAATATATTGGATATGATAGTCCTAGTGTCCAAGATCTTGCAAAAGTAGCTGATGTCCTGGTGTAAACTTGGTCCTCTCTTACCAAAGCTTGATCGCCTTTGTCTATATGAAACTTCCACAACACTAAACAAGCTTCTTATAACCCATCAGATGGGGGTAGTTGAACGATAATGCGGATGGTTAA